CATAAACTGCAATTTGAGTATTTTTATTTTCTACTCCACTACAATTTAGAGGAAAATATTGTACTATTAATATAACATTGCAGAAAATAAATACATTTTCTTAGTTTACTTTCCACCAATGATAACGTATATAATAATTTTAACACTGACATGGGCCATTCTTCATTATAAGCACTTCCATTGTGTTGCTTTGAGTACATTTTGATTATATTTTGTCACTTAAGCAATGTTTTAAAAACAGGCCTCGGCCCTGTCGTGCATCATAAATAATTGCCAAAATCACAAAAAGCAGTCTCCTTAGCACACTTGTCAATGTTTCAGAATAAACTACAGTTGACAAGGATCAGCATCGATCAATCTCTGCTCCACTCTGAGAGAACACCTGTCAGACATTCATCACCACACAGAGATATGGACAGAGGTTTCCACTGTTAATCCTGATTCTTTTCCTCCCCGTGCTCATGCATTTTTGCTCTTCTCAATCATCCTGTCATTTTCTGTCAGCCTGTGCATCTGTCTATCTGTCTCTCAACTTGTCTCACTCTCTCTTCAGTGGATCCTGCATTAGCCCCTCGGAGTGGTTTCCACTTTAATTTTGGCCAGCGACCATGTAAGTGAGACTCAACTGCCAATAGGTGCTTCAGGCAACCGGAGTGATACATGTCAGTCTCCATGGTGACAGGCAGCATGTTCTGCATGCTGATATCCAATCATATACAGTGTAGTGACAGAGAGCCCTAGAGGACGAATCCTACTGACTTTAGGGATGCTCTGACGTGCCTACATACAGCCTCACAGGGCTGCTTGTAAACTCATCTTGTTTCTGTATGATTTTATACTCTTAGTACTGCCAGGGAGTATTGTAAATAGAGTAAATATGGTATGAATCTGCGCTGTGTCAAATTGCTTGACAAAAATGAAGGTTATATCGAAGAAATAATAACAGCAATAAGCTTCATATGTTAGAGATTTGGCTTGGGGCACAGGTGGAAAGGGCTGTATCCATCTTGTTCAAAGGGCAGCTTCTTCATAAATCCCCTCTCTTTCTAAGGATCTTTTCTATATGAGATGACAGGCAGAGACAGATACTTTGTCAGTCCTCCTGCCTCATGGAAAAGTGTGTGTGTGCGAGAGGGAGAGAGGGAGAGAGAAGGAGAGAGAGGGACCCAGCCATCCACACAATAGTGATACTAAATCAAAAGAATAGGGCTCCTGCCTTTTGGATGACGGGTGATGCTGAGCTCCCATCATGGAGTAACAGTAATGAAGCATTTTCACTGAGGCTGCTGCAGCATCAGGGGGTGGCGAAGCCCCACAGGATTGCATTAAAGACTCTCTGTTCCCTGTCACAATTGGCACACTATTTACAATCCCATGAGATTGGAGGTAGAAAAGAAAAGCCTAATGCAGAAATGGATTACATGTGACTTCTGCCTGCATCTTGTGTCCTGATAAATGACAGCTGAACGAAATTAATCGGTGGGAAAGCTTTCAATTGGGACTCCGTTTTGGAGGGAAATAAACATATTTAATCTTTCTGAGAATACCCACGCTCAGTTAAGTACTCTGTGTTGCTGATTGTTAGTGCCATCCCATAACAAATTATTCTGCTTACAGGGCTTAACATCTTGTTTAATTGTTCTGATTAGTCAAAGCTGTAGGTGCAGCTCTGTGAGCTCCTCATCAGAGGATATTAGCTAGTGTCTTTAATGAGCAGCATAATTAGAGGGTGTGTTTGTTTGTGAGAAAGAAAGGTTGAAAAGAAGAAATCCCAAGAAAAGCGAAAAGTGAGGTCCAGAAATGGCTGCCACAAGCCAAAGGTGCTGTCCAAATCCATTATAGCCTGCTGTTGCCATGGTAGCAGCCCACCTAAAATCGTTTCCTTACCAACCTTGCTTGCCTCTTACATGTAACCAGGAGGCAGTAACAGTTGGTAGAAGTCTCTGTTATTGTGATGACAGCTGTCAGTTGCTGATGTAGCCATCGGACCAGAGAACAAAACTCCATCCTGCTCGTGCACTCAAGCAGTTACCATCAAAAACAACGTCAGAGTCGATTACGAATGTTGCAAACATTGCGTAATTCATGTTATGCTCCATGTGCCATATCAGTCCCTCTTTAAATCAGACCTGTGGTGGAGTCGGTGCAAGCTGTTGATCTTTCTTCTTCTTGGAAAGTGACCTCAAGCCAGAAACATTGTGATGGAAAGCCCATTATTGATTCTCTTAACAACCTAATCCTATGAGTCAGAAAAACAAATTAACATTAAGCCGCAGGAAGCTAATGCACCTCCATTATCCTCCCTCGATAGTGGTCTGCTGCCATGAGCTCATCCAGCTATAGACAGCAATTAAAATTTTGACCTCAGCTCCCTGCTGAAAATGAGGCAGATGTTTTGATACCATGACTCCTTGTAACATCACTTTATTGGCTTGGAAAGATACTGTGTGATTTCCAAAACGTTCTGTGTCTACCTTTGGAGAGTTGGTCCAGTTGGTCAACTCCTGGGACAGCAGGTAGCTTTGTCAGCTGTCCATGCTAATAGTTTAGCATATAATATGAAGAATAAAGACCAACTTATTTTGGTGAAACTGCAAAAGTCCACAAGACAAACAGCATCGGTCTACAATTAAACTGGTGTTCAACTGTAGCTGTAGTTTTGACCTCTCATAGGAGTATGCCCTACTTTAACTTACTTTAATGTTTGTGTAGTGCTTATAAATACTTCTTAATAAATGAGGAGCGACTGTATTGTGTTTTTGTGTTTTTTATTTCTGCATGATTCTGTCTACATTGATGGATAAGTGTGTGTTAAAGCTATATGCAGGCTCCCGATAATACTGAAAAGCTTCAGTATTACTCACTCACTCCCTCACACACACACCCACTCACTGTAAGCGCAGACACTTGCACAGTGTAATAGACATCCCCTCCTACCTCTCTTGCTGTTGCACTGCTTTGCCACAAATATCGAATTTGCCGTTACAGGCATATTTATGTGACGCATTGTATAGATGGTAACGTATAACCTTTGTTAAGGCTTGGGATAAGTATAGACCCATACAGTATGCTCCCATGTGTCTCTGAAGTGACAGTTTGACAAGATGTGTCTAAGCGGCTTGGCATATATTAGCATACCCAGCACCTCATCACCAAGCTGTCACTCTCGACTGGACAGGAGTCGGACTGAAGTGTTACAGACTCAGGGGGGCAACAGAGGAGCAATAAGACAACCTCTCCTTATATCATCCTTTTTCACACTTTCCTCTCCTCTCCTTTTTTTTCTTCTCCTTTCCTCACCTCATACTTTCAGACTGATTAATCTCATACTGGCTTTAAATGAACGACATTATCTATTATTCACAGGCAAAGCCAGCCTCATCTTGCACAGACTATATAAATGAAGTCTTAGCCACTGAAGAGTTTCTCTCAAACCATATTATCACCCGAAAGTCAGAAAATTACCATGCATTAGCATAGATTATCTCAGGCAAGGTCAATGGTTATCCATTTCATCTTGCTTTTTCTGAGGGGGTTTTTTAGACTCCCTTGCCGCTAGGTGTCAGCGGCTGTATAGCGAAGCCCCTGGGACCTTTTTCCTCAGAATTGAGTCGCTTGATCGGATAAAAAGGAAAGGCACAACAAGCAGCAGAAGCAATGTGAAGGTTATTCGAAGATCATGTGCAGCCGACTTTACTTCTAGCTCTATCCCCTCTGCTGAGGGGGATCAGAAAGGCCCATGGCGAATTTGTGGGGAGCTGATCCAAATATTATCAAACCAAGCTGCATTTTCAGTGATGAAAGTCTGTAATGTGGCATAAAGGTTGAGCAGTATAGGTTCATGAAGTTATGAATATGATCTTTAAATACTTTTGACATCACTTCTCCCCAGGTGTCAGGGATTTGCAACCACCAAAAACTTCTGGGAGTAAGCCACAGTGGATCCCATTGTTACAGTTATAAAAGCACATCAATAAAGTTATAAAGTCAAACTTTTGATTACAGTAAAAAGGTTAGATCACTTGTGGTTTTTCTTTTTTGTAAATAACCGGTCTTCTTCTTTTCTTTCATTCTTACATAGTGAGGTATATAGTCATGCTAGCGACATGGCTCTAGGGATGGCAATGTCGGTCAGTCGTCCTGCTAGTTTTTTGGTTGACCACTTTGGTCCAGACTGAAGTATCTCATGGATATATCTTATATATAGGCTGGCTGGCTGGATTGATTGATGGATGGATGGTAGGATGGAGATATGGTTTTCACAGGATAAACCCCTGACTCTGTACTTTTAACCTCCAGCAGGTTACCAGTTTTAGTGAAATTTCTAAACCACTATTGAATGGATTGCTGTACATTGCGCTTAAGTGCAACCTCACAGAGCCACTAGCATGACTGTAGACTCTTCTTGTTGCACTAAAAATGTTAGTTCAGGTCATCAAGTAAAAGTCTGTTCTGTGCTACTGTAGAAACATGGTGGTTCAACATGGCATCCTCCACAGAAGGAGGCATCTGTAGATAGAAATGGCTCATAAGCTAATGAATGCACAACAAGTTTTTTACTTAAAGTTTCAATGTGTTTTTATAGTGTCTTAACTTCCTGCACCGTCTGGTTCAGCAAAATGAGTATGAAGACAGATAGAGATGGAGGGGTGCAGGGGTCCACAGAGGAGTGAATCCAGGTGGTTTCTAAACAACTTGTGCCTGTGTCAAAATGACAGATGGCGCCAGCTAAGCTTCGCATCAATCTCACCTGATGGCTCAGCAGCGACTGGTGATGTCAATGGGTTGGCTTCACCAGGAGCAACGCCAGGTGATTCAGGCGGAGAAAAGATGGAGCTAAAACACCTTCTCGCATGGTCGAGCACTGTGTCCAAAGCCAAAAGTTTGCATTTGGCAAAGAGTGTTTCCAGGGAATCATTCTTGACTTGACACTTAAGGTCCAGATCAGATGAACTGTTTCTGTAGACGTGTACCTCTTTTGTCGACAGTGAAAGACAGAATGCATTACAGAAATTTTAATAGCATATGTCTTTACAAAAGGAGCATTGTGTACGTGGTTTACAACATGTCTAAATACAGTATTTCTACATCAACCATTTATTAAAAATAACAGGCTTAAAAAGTCCTTCTTTGAACATTGTACAAGTATACTCGTAATAACAGAGATTAGACTATTGTGTAACTGAATTTATCCTTACACTGGTACAGTTGATACAGTAATCTACTATTGTAATTCGCAGTGTATGAACATTTGAACGTGTATGGTGTTTACAAGACAGGTTCATATCTTTTAACCTAAAGCACATTGATATAATCTCTCAAATCCCAGAATAAATGAGAAAAAAGGAGCTCTCCCTTTCTATTTATCTCTCTGTCTAAAATATATATCTCAGTCAGTTTGTCAGGTAAAGAAAGACCGGTTGACAGACAAATAAAGTCAGTTCTCATATGGTAGCTTGCTGTCTTAAAAAAGGGAAATAAACAGTGTAAGCGAAGCACACATAGTTTGTAAAGTTGAAACATTCACTGGTTACCAGATGTAATATATGTGTAAATGCAGTGCAGTGACTTTCTTTGTGTGGGAGAAATTATAAAATGCTCACAGAAAAAAAAAAAGCATAATTGCATCTGTGGCCGCAGGTTAATGCCTGAGTCTCAGAGTAAAGTTGCTGTTCCCAATTAGGATGATGATTAGTTGCCATGGATACAACTGCCTCCAGATTCCACAGTAACACGAAACTAATTTATTGAACAGTGAGAAATTTAGAGGAACAGCTTCATATATATAACGTTTAATTTAAAATAAGGCCTCCTGTCCCCATTTACATTTGTATACATTTATCACAAGTTCAGCAGAGATGTTAAATTACTTTTAAACACATACCATTTACCAATGTGCCACATCTGTTCTTACACATCTGTATTATCATCCTTTTGTTGCTGACAGTTTTCAGTATGAGTGATAAAAAATACTTTTACAAGCTATGAGCTACTAATTAACTAATACTAATACAAAAAACAGGTGCAGTAAGTAAAGTAGGCTACGTCATCTTGCAGTTCAGTTTGTGCTTTTTTAAATTGTATTTTGTTAACATCCATAGATAATATCCAAACATAACTGAAGGGACCATGAATACAATTAGATTTTCTAATAATCCCTGGTGAATATTACTGTAGGTATTTGACAATAAGACCATTCATTTCACAGGGGTTGACTTAGTTTTACACTACACATCTAATTATAAAGTCATCATCCATTGTGTATAATTGAGTTAAAATTGCAGAAAGCATTTTTATTAGATTTTAAATGTCTACCAAAAGGAGTCTAATGATATTCAGAGTTGTATTCTTTGTTTCCTGTTAGTAAAATTGTTAGAAACATAATATATAGACTGATGATCAGTGTCCATACGATGTTTTATCCAAATATTAGTCCTTAAATGAGCTCTAATGCCCTGGGCCCTTAGGGCTGCCTGACATGAAAATAATCCCACTACTTTCTAAATGTTTTAACATTCACCATCTCGGTTCAGCCGCATAATTAAACAGCACTGCCCTAAATTGCTTAGCTACTATCTGGTGGATGTTTAAGATGGCCTGGATCAACCCGAATCTTAAGCCTCATTTAATCTCCATTCTCATCTCTGCATTACAAGTGAGAGTGTTGTCTGAGGAGAAACACGGAAAAAAACTTAGGCTGAAAAGTTCCTTTGATTCTTGCTTGAGAGCGCAGGTCTGATGTTCCTGTTTTTAACTAAAGAGCTGTCGTACACAAAAGCTTCTTTTCAAACTTGTAGATGTCCCAGTCTTTCCCTCTGATGAAGAAATACAGAAGTCTATATGTCATCGTCTGGTATCACAACGCCTGCACCCTTAGGGGCCCAAACTGATTCGAGTGAGAGGGGGAGAGAAAAAGAGCGATAGACATAGAAAGAGAGTATGTGTGTCTGTCTACAAAGCATGGCCTCACTCCAGAGATCTGAAAAAAGCCAGATGTGTGCGTGTGTGTATGTTTGTCTTTGTAAGCATATGTTCATCAGAAAGTGCAGGCATAGACAATGCCCACCACCACAATGTTTCCGATGGTGGCGACGATGGCGATCCAGAGCCAGATGGCATCGCTGGACATGGACTGGGACTCATCCTGCTGGCCATGCACCGAGGCGGCTGAGGCAGCGGCGTGGACGCTGGCCGAGGAGTTGAAGAGTGAGTGCTCGCCACTGTAGTCATCATTGGGCGAGGAGTCCATGAAGGCTCCCGTCATTACTGGGATCTGTGAGGGAAAGTCAGGAGAAAGGTTAAAGTATATTTCAATTTCGGCACTTCTACTCAACTTGTATTTGTAACTTGTAAAGTATGAGGAGAGGAGTGAGGCACTCAGTGTTTCATTTAGGTTGTGCTTTTCCAGTCAGTCTACCAGGCCCATACCTACTATTGGCAATACTGAGGTCTTGTCCTTCTGTATTTTTCAGGGACGTCAGGGTTGCAACAATTTAGGGGGAGTAACATTCAACACTTAAAAACTTACTTGGTGGATGTTATCTATCCTGATTCCAGTACTTTTAGACTATAAATTAAATTTGGACTACTTTTAGGGCAACAAAAATAAAGAATTCAGCATTTCTCCATCCGAATGTAATTCAGGGCAATAAAATTGGTAAATGTTTATGTTATGGGTCAGTAATTTTCTACACTGTAAATCATTTTGTTTTGTTTGAACTTTAAAGTTAAAAAGATTCCCTGCTGCCTTAAACATATTTTAAGTTAACAGAACTTAACTCTAGAGTTACGTTTACGGATGTTGAGAAAGCAGGTTAAATAAACGTATTTCTTTCGTGTTTATTATATTAAGTTGAATGAACATTTTTTTTTGTTACACTGACAGATGTTACAGACACATTTGCTCTGTATTTACATTTCCTCAGTTTGAAGGGTCAGTTGTTCAGTTCAGTCTGTTTTATGTTCATCAACGAAAAAGGGCTCTGGAGATTGTTAACTCCTAAAGAATGCTGGGTAGTCTGCTAATATGTTCGCCATGTTTCCTTAGAAGTAAGTTCAGTGAACTCTTAGCAGTAAATTCAGTATTTGTTATGATAATGATGATGTTGTTGTTATATTAAAAAGGTCAAGCATGAAATATCTCAGCGACTATAAGATGGACTGCCCCTAACTTTATCCAGCGATAAACGGTTCACATTTGGGGTTTAATTAAAATTATTACTAGTGATGCATTACTGCCCACCACTGATGCTATCTAGCAAATGTTAGCATACTAACACGCTAAACTAAGATAGTGAACATGATAAATAGTATACTCTTAAATCATCAGTATGTTAGCATTATGTGCATGTTAGCATATTTAAGGTAGCATTTAGCTCAAAGCACTTCTTTGCCCAACTACGGCCTAACAGAGCAGTAGCATCCTGAAGCTGTGTGATAAGAGTGATAATGCTTTCAATGACTTTGCCTTTTTTTAATGGAGTTGGATGGCTATAAAATGACTAATAATTTAAACTCAATAAAAACAACAACACTTTACAGCCAAACCTCCAAGAAAAATCTTGCCTTCTCCTGACAATCATAGCGTGCCAGATTTGTTCCTAGTGGTTGTACATTAGCAAGTGCTATATTAAAAGAAATGAGAGGTAATTGCAACACGACATCATTAGTAAATGGTTGCAAGGTTTCCCACACAGGCATGCAGGGTCCCACTCTGTCTCACACACTCCTGAATGTGTGTGTCTTTGCATGTGTGTGTATTTAGAAAGCTGTGCTTGATTAACATGGAATGAATATTTCAGATGTGGCAAGTGAAAATGATTTATTGCTTGGGACAATCAGAGCCCTTTGAAGGTTAGCCATTAAAGCAGAAGCAACTAAATGCTCTTGTGTGTGTGTGTTTGTGAATATTTTTACGCGTGTGTGTGGTAAAATAGCAGGGTATATGATTGGGGAAATGCACGAGGAGACCCTCGCTCAGACTGGAAAACAGACTGAAGATGTTGCAAAACAATGCTAAAAATACCTCGGAGGGATGTTGAGCACTCGCGTACACAGAAATTCTCTCTTGCTTGCTCATTTGCTCACCTTCACCCTATCGCTCACACTTCCGCTCCCTCTCTCTCTCTCTCTCATGGGCTTAATGCACAAAGACAGACGTTAACACACACAGAGACACACACAGATACTTCAGGTCTTCCCTCGTACTGGGGAAAACACTGTTTAGAAAGCGTTGTGCTGCTCTCCGTCCATTGGCCCCTGGTGGTGAATAATGACATGACACATCCTGTGGAGCGCCTGCTGTTCACATGAGCATGATGAAGGCAGACAGGCATGCATGATGTCCAGCAACCTGGGTCTCCCTGCCCCCCACACAGCTACTGTATCTGCTGATTCCTCCTGCTACAAAATCTCACATGTACTTTTCATCCATTTTAACATTTTTTTCTATTATGAGCAGATTCATATCACTCGTCTAGCACCCACATCACATGTAGGCTATTGGAAACTAGCGCCAAGAGAAAAGTAATATCTGCACACTGATTCCAACCTGCATAGTTATTAAAATTTACAATATTTAAATTCACGTTTGATCTTAATCATGTTTAAAATTGGTCACCACACCCATAACAATGAAAGGCTTATCAGCTCTATGATGGCAGGTGTGGTTAACCATCCAACTTGCCCAGGGTTATAAACCTTGTGATTATTTTGGTTTATTAAGGCAAGGCACCTGTATGTGCGTAACTGAAAATGGAAAATACATTTTTTATATTTTAACTACCCTCCAGTCCTGAACTCCTGATGAAAGTTCATTTGGGCCAACTCCAGAAGTGTTGACAGTAATAACATTTTTAGTATGCATTGATCTGCATGACAAACTCAAGATCCTTTTGTCATTTAAGTATAGTCCTAAAAGCTTATTTTGATATCTACCTGTTACTTTGAAGGCACTCATATGACCTCTATCATCGACATGCTGTTGATCTGATTTCTTATTTCTTTAAATCACACCCTACTGTGATCTCTAGACACCACTGGAAACCTTATTCTGCATTCAAAATGGCATCTAGCTTAATCTAATGTTCAGTCAGACGATAACTGAAGCTCTCAACCCTGTCTGCATTCTTTATATTTATGTTTTATTTATAATAACTCATTGTCCACAGGAGTGAGCTGTTTGCATAAATGGGGAAGTGTACCGGATAAAATGAGGTGGGTACTGGGAGTGTGTGCAAAAATATTCAGTTGTAAGCCTGAATCTAAATATTTAATTGCCCACGTTTACTATTTTTGGCAGAGATGGTGTATCTATATATACACAGTACATGTAGATAGGTGTTTCAATTACATGTCAGTAGTATATCATCATTCTTCATGGGACTTACTCCTCTATCCATTCATCCAAGCCCACAACTCCCATGTGTATCATGTACATGAGGTTGGCCCAGCAAGCGGTTAAGCACTAATGGCAAACAGACACTTAGAGAAGGAGCATCCTAAAGCAGGACTTATGTGGGCAGTGATGGTCATCCCCTAAGCATTACTACCAATAAACCCATGCTTGTTGACATACATGATGAATGACTTCCGTAATAAAGTTATAGTGACGAAACTTTCCTGGAAACCATACACACCTCTCCAGTATAACAGTAAACTGGTGGCTAAATATTTTCAACGGGCACATCCAGATAGAAAACTTGGTACTAAATCAGTAAGTGTGTTAGTATCAAACTTCCTGAACACACAATTCAAAATAAAAATGGTTTCATTTCCCAGGTTGTCTGATGTACAAGTTATTTTATTCTTTAACTTAAAACGGAAGGTAAACTGGTTCACACTTTCATCTCATTCTTGATACTTTATTCTTTTGTAATGAATATATTTCCTAGCGTGCCTGCTCTGGAGGGCATCAGGCAACATGTTTGTGCTTGTTACTTTTCTGCATTACAAAAGAATAAAGATACAACAAAATATGGACTTAAAGAGAAAACCTTTTTTACTGAATGTGAGCCAGTTTACCTTCAGTTGACTGGCAGATTTTGCTGGTTTAAATGCACCAGGCAAACAAAGCAGACAGCAGTGATTCTATATATTTAGATGATCAGTTGCTGTAACTACTTAATGTAGTCGGCCAAATAGTGGAATGATAGAACTAGCTTATTCCACAGAGGCCCCATTTACATGGGTTAGGGTTAGTCTCTCATACCCTGATAAAATCCAACCACATTCTGACCCATGGCTGCTCCAGCAAGGTCTCAGCCTTGGTATATGGGGTGACAGCTGTAAGCTACCAGGGCGCCTCCACACTGGACTTTCAATGAACTTTCAATTACTCTTAGCCACATCCGTCTCCATTGGCCAGATCACAAATCTGATTGCAATCCATCCTGGCTTTTCCAGGGATCAGGTTTGGCCCTCCTCCAGTCCAGAAGGATTTTAATGAACAACAGTCTCAAATGCTTCTTACTTTTTGCTTATCCAATAGCTATCCGATCCACCCAAGATGCATGAAGTGACTACATGTTTATCTCCAGAGAGATAAACACAAGAACAATGATATATTATCAATGTGTGTTATCTTGCGCAAACTTAAATCCCTCATTTGTGAAGGAAGAGGGTAACATCAGCAGAAACACTGATTCTATAAAGCTTTGAAAGGGACTTTTTCAGCAGAAGAAAGTAGTTCAAATGAAATATATTCAGAGTGAGGAGAAAACTGTGGATTATTCAAAGTAACCAGGACATTGTTTCTTGAAAGACATGTAGCCACTGAATTTTTCAGTCCTTTGAGCAGCAAAAAATTACAGTCAGCTCCATTCAACAGGGGTGGTGGCAGACATCTAGGCAAAACTATCTGCATAGCTAGATACTAGATAAAGGTAAGAAAAATAACTATTTTTTGTGGTCTGGCCTTTAAAACTACCATTTACATTTTCAATCCATCAATATCCTTCATGGATTACACTACTTCACACCTCTGAAGTTTACATTTGATATTGTAGCCAATGGGAAAATAAACTGTTTCATTTTATTGTGTGAAATAATCTGAAAAATCACTTCCCTCCATACACTAACACCAGATAAATCTCCTGACTTGCATTACTTACACCTTCTTGGTTCTGAGCATAAACCAAACACCTGTGCAATACTCCCCAAAAACACCCCAATCTGTGGTTGACGATACAGTATTCACTGTATGACTACACCTGCTCTGCTCTCACAGCTTTGATTTATTCGTCCCAGCTGTTCCTAGAGCTGAGCCATCCTACA